CGCGGCTGTCCCCCCGCCGCCGTCCAAAGAGCTCACCCCAGAGCTTCCCCCTCCGCGCCGGCGGTGACAAGCGTCACTGCCGCGATGCCACCGGCACCCACCGCACCCCCCGGCATCCTGCAGCCAGCCCCCCTCGAGATGGAGCCGCATCCCCCTCCACGCAGTGGGATGGAGGGGGTGGCAGGGCAGGGGCCCTCCCCGCCGTCTCCCAGAGATGATTAAGCAGTAACGAGATTCGGCTCTAATCGCCTCATCCCCTGGGAAGCGCAGGGCTGGCACCCCACGCCGCTGCTCCCCACCACGTGTGCCCGCGCCGCGCTCACGTTGCCGGTGGCCACCCCAGCGCCGGCGCGCTGTGACGCAAATGGAATTACTTGAGGGTCAGCGCCGGTGTCATCGGCAATTCCTCCTCCCCGGTGGCATCCCGGACCTCTCAGCCACCCAAAAATCACCGCCGCTGGGCACCGGCCCTGGCCATCACCGCACCGTGTGGGACCCAGCTGCGGTTTTGCTCCTGTAGCCCACGGCAGGACCAACCCCAAAGCCAACACGGGGCTCCCCGGTGCCACGCCAGCAGCATTTCTGGTCTCACATCCCTGCTAAGAGTCCGGCTGCTCCATTGCAGCCCAGTGCGGCGTGCCTCACCGTCCCCCGCTGAGACGGCCCCGCTGCTCTGACTCACGCTCGAAGCAGCCTGAGGAGCCCTCGAGAGGAAAACACGCAGCATCTCCGCCAAGGTGGAGGGAACAGCCGAGTTTCTGCAGCCACCGGGGCTGGGGACACCTCGCCAAGAAACACCTTGCCGGGCATCACGAGCCTGCTTGGCCACCGAGATGGGAGGCAACGGGGTGAGGCCACAGCAGGCGAGCAAGGGGGGCAGCTCTTGGCCATGAAGACCAGAAACAAGAGTGGTTTGGGCATTGCCCTTGAGGGATGAAGGCCAGCATGGGGTTACCCAAAAACCAACCGAGAACCTGAGCAGAGCCAAGCAGAACCCAAAGCACCAAACCATCCCTCTATGGATGGACGAGGGGAACAGCCGAGTTTCTGCAGCCACCGGGGCTAGGGATACCTCGTCAAGAAACACCTTGCCGGGCGCCACGAGCCCACTTGGCCACTGAGATGGGAGGCATGCAAGCAAGGGGCCAGCTCTTGGCCATGAAGACCAGAAACAAGAGTGGTTTGGGCATTGCCCTTGAGGGATGAAGGCCAGCATGGGGTTACCCACCCAAAAACCAACCGAGAACCTGAGCAGAGCCAAGCAGAACCCAAAGCACCAAACCATCCCTCTACAGACAAGGGGATGTTCCCCCTGCAGGCAGGAATGGGGCGGAGGAGCGTCCCTCTGTCCTGGCACCCCCGCTTCTGGCAGAGAAAAGCCAAGATTCGCCCTTTAGCCATCCACGTCGCACGAAAGCATCACCTAACGCTGCCCTGAGCATCTACCCGTGACCTGGGCCAGAAACCCCGAACCTTCCCCTGCCGCCGCGCACGAGCCTCAGCGAGAAGAATTAACCTTGTAAGTCTAAGAGGGTAATCAAATCTCATGCTTCAGGGCATAAGCCGATCACCAAAGGGGTCAGGAAGGAATTACTGCCCCACACTAGCAGGGGATTTTTGCCTTTCCCCTGATGCAGACCATATTGGCCGCTGCCGGAGTCAGCAGGCTGGCCCTGAAGGGCTGATGGGCTGATCTGTTCTGGCAAATCCTCTCCAGTAATTCCTCTAATGACATTAGTGACTCTTACTTGCTCTCCTCCCCTGGTTTTGGCTTCTGCTGTTAATTCTGGTCTCCTCCGCGCGGGCTGGTGGTCCGGGCACCCATGGGAGGCAAGAACTGTGGTGGCAGCGGGGTGGGACTCACCGAGGAGCTCCATGTCCAGCTTTGGAGCCCTCAGCACAAGGAAGACATGGACCTGTTGGAGCGGGGCCAGAGGAGGGCTACTAAAATGATCCAAGGGGCTACTAAAATGCTGCGAGGGCTGGAGCCCCTCTGCTAGGAGGCCAGGCTGGGAGAGTTGGGGGTGTTCAGCCTGGAGAAGAGAAGGCTGCGGGCAGAGCTGAGTGCGGCCGGTCAGGGCTTCAAGGGGGCCCA